CTGCTGCCACCGCCGCTGTCGCCATCGTCATTGTGGTCTTCTTCTTCTCCTCTTCCTTCTTCTCTTCCTCCTCTTCCTTCTTCTCCTCCTCCTCCTTCTTCTTCTTCATGCTATTGGGGCTCAAACCTGGACCTTGCCCACAGTAGGCAAGAGCTCTTCCACCACACTATCTCCCCAGCCTGCAGTTTTTCTTCACACCATATTAAATAGAAGTTCTTCATGACGGTTCCCTGGAGTTCATGTCTTTTGTGATTCTTGGTAAAGGTGCAGCATTTAAACTGTGGTCCTTGGGGAAATGTTATGTCCTAGGAGATTGACCCTGGCCTGTCTCACAGGTTAAAAGACTATCTCCTGGGCGTTCTGCGGCTCATGACAAGAATGGTGGTGCTCTCGTGGACTTCAGAGGAATTCCTGTACGTATCACCCACGCTCAGTGCCTCCTGCCAGCACAGGCCTTTGCTCCATGCTGCTTTATAGGCTAGTGCTGTGCTGGGCACTGGGGACATGGGCTGGCATAGGTTCTGCCCTCCAGGGGCTCACAGTGGGGGTGGGGGTGCAGATAAACCACATTACTTCTGTCTAGTAAGGTAGCTGTTGTAGGAAGCAGAGTGTAAGGCAGTGCAGTACAAAGGCACTCTGTGGTCTCAAGGTGTTGTGTGAATGTCTGTTCATTCACTGTCAAAGAACACATGCACTTGTCCCCACATTGCCCAGCTTCCACATTGTAATTGGAGCTTTCCAGGCACTCCTTTAAAATAGACTTTGGGGCTATGGGAGCTCAACCTCCAGCATGCACCCCCTACCCCCCAAAACAAAAAAAACTTAATCCACCTATCAGTGGATCACCAGAGCCCCTGGCCTCCAGTTTCAAGGCTATTCAGTGCAAGTGGGTGGGAAATATTTGTGTGTATGGGGCACATGGATTCTGCCCTCTCTCTAAAGGTGACCTGCCCCACAGATCTCAGCGTTGAAGACTCATGATGTTCTCCGGGCCCTGACGGCAGAAACTAATGGATGGGAGCCAGGTGGTAAGGACTTCTTGGGGCCCCGGAGTCGGGGTGGAGCCTAAGCCAGACCTTGTATGGATCTATCATTTATCATTGGAATTTCTTATATTCTTTATCCTTCAGAATTTTGTGGATTTATGTTCCTCAAGGATAATTAGAATCAACACTGGGTCAGGAGTGAGTTTCTCTGCTACTAGTTCACTATGTGCCTCTGGGAAAATCATGTAATCTCTGTCTAGAGTAGAAATATTGATCTCTCTCATTCTCAAAGGGATAGTACAAAGATGAGTCCACATTTGTGAAAAGGCGTTGGAGTAGTCTCCTGTTTTATCTGTACTCTATAAAGTTCATTCAACTTGCTGATTTATTATGGAGAGAGATCCTCACTAGCTCAGAAGCAGCCATTGTGGAGTCATATGTCTGGTTTAAATTCTGGCCCTCTCACCTACATCACCTGGAGGAAATCACTTAACCTTTCTAATCCTTTCCTCTAATGGAGGTGGGGGTGGGCGGTGGCTCAGTGGTAGAGCCTAATTTGCAAGAGGCCCAGCACTGCAGAAAAGAAAGAAAAAATGAGCAGATTGTGTAAGAATATGTATGATGGGAGTTTTGTAAGGATTAAGTGAGATAATGTAGATAAAGTGCTTTATACAAAAAAATATGGATTGGTAAGTACTCATTACTATTGGTAAGTCTTACACACTAAAATATAACCTCCAGAAATATGGAGCTTTTATAAATATTGTAATGTAGAAAAATTATTTGGGCATCTACAAAGTTCTCTTAATAGAATATCATCCATACTGTATGGTGACAAACCCAACATTAGTAAATAACTTTTACCTTAAATGCCAAATATTTTATACTTAAATTTTTTGTGCCAGATACTTTTTATCATATTTTAAAAGTTTTTCATATTGTTCTTAGCTAATTTCAATTAAACAGGATGACTAAATCAACAATTTTGTTTCACTTATGAATACATGGAAGAGAGGCAAAATAAAGCAGACACTTCAAAAGGAAAAGCACCTGTACTAATCTAAGCTGAACCAATTCCCTAAAGGTCTGCTCTTTGCCCTGTGGTCTTCTGTTAGTCAGGATTTTCTCTGGAAGCAGGAGGGTCTCTAAGAGGACAGGGAAAGCTCTTAAGTGGTTTGGGTGTTGTCTCCAGTTTGTAGGCGCTGGCCTGGTATCTCTAGTGGGTTTCAGGTAGCATGTTTTTGGTTTTCCCCCAGGGTTGGGACGGAACCTAGGGCTTTACCCATGCCAGCCAGGTGCTCTACCAGTGAACTGCATCCCAGCCCTTGACACTGCTAGCCAAAAGCTAGTACTTCCTGTTGTCTAACCTGTGGTGACAGCAAATCCTTACCCCTTTGCTGCTGAGCTCTCTACTCCTTGCACACAGGCTTTGGTGAAGCATTTATGGGTGAGGGAACACAGAGTGAAAGATTGATGTCAGTGCTTGGAGGTGAAGGTCTGAGGGTGAAGAATCACAGACACAGGAAGGTGGGGATAAAGGTGGGGACATTCACTTAGATCATAGGCATTCCTTGTGGTTGTTCCACTTCTCCTTTTCTGGCCAGTCACTTTGTCCCTCATTTGATCTCCTAGGGGCCCTGCATGCTAAAGGCAATTTTTGTTTTGTTTTTTCCTAATTAGGTATATATGACAGCAAAATGCATTTTGATTCATTGTACACAATATTAGCACAACTTTTCATTTCTCTGGTTGTACACGATGTAGCGTTGCACCATATGTGTAGTCACATATGTACCTAGGGTAATAATGTCCATCTCATTCCACCATCTTTCCTGCCCCCATGCCTCCTCACTTCCTCCCCTCCCCTTTGCCCAATCACAGTTCCTCCATTTTTCCCATGCCCAGCCCCCATTATGGATCAGCATCCACTTATCAGAACATTCATCCTTTGGTTTTTTAGGATTGGCTTATTTCCCTTTAGCATGATATTCTCCAACTCCATCCATTTACCTGAAAATATCATAATTTTATTCTCTTTTTACGCTTAGTAATATTCTATTGTGTATATATATCACAGTTTCTTTACCCATTCTTCTATTGAAGGGCATCTAGTTTGTTTCCATAGTTTAGCTATTGTGAATTAAGCTGCTATGAACATTGATATAGCTGCATTACTATAGTATGTGGATTTTAAGTCCTTTGGATATAAACCAAGGAATGGGATAGCTGGGTCAAATGGTGGTTGCATTCCAAGTTTTCCAAGGAATCCCCATAACTGCTTTCAAGTTTGGTTGCACCAATTTGCAGTCCCATCAGCAATGTATGGGTGTGTCCTTTTCTCCCACATCCTCGCCAACACTTATTATTGTTTGTATTCTTGATAGCTATGAAGGCAAGTTTTATTTTCTTGACCATCCAAGGTCGAGTATTTGTGTGAAGTTGTCTACCTTGGAAGCCCTCAGTCTCAGTGTCTGCTGCCTCAGACTAGAGGTGGCAAAGACAGGGTTTCCTTGAGGTCCCCACAGGCGGGCCCATCTCACCTGCTGTCACTGCCCGCAGTCGGCTGTGCCTGAGCACGTGTCTGTGTCAGTAGTAATAGCTAGTGTTTACTGACCCCTAACCTTTGGGCTGCAGCACTCTCCAGTGGCTGCAGAAGAGATACAATTGACTAAGTAACTCATCCAAGAAGGACAGCCAGTGGGCCACGGGGGTCTCACCTTTACACCTTGTCTGGCTGTCAGGTGTGCTTTCAGCCACTCTGTTGCTTCTCTGCCACTGTCTCTTCTCACTCTCCATTAGCATTTGGTGGCATTTAACCTGCAAGTATACTTATTTCTTTATCTATGTTTCATTACTGTCATGAAATAGCTGAGGCTGGGTGAGTATAAAGAAGAGAGGTTTATTTTGGCTCACAGGTCTGTTGCAAGGTTGAGGATGCCTCTGGTAATTGCCTTGCTGGCAGGCCCAAGGTAGTGTGGGACATCTCAAGGGAAGAGATCGGGATCACACCTGTGTGTCTCCTCTGGCCTCTCTTATAAAGCCCCCAGTATTCAATCTTGGGCTCCACCATGATGTCCTTATTTATTTCCAGTCACCTCCTACGGATCCCAACTGTGAGTAGGAGAGTCAGACTGTGTCCCCACTCTTAACCACTCACAGTAGAATTGAATCTCAACACTGGAAGGGTTCTACTCAAGAACATGCTTAAGCCACGTCCAAACCTAGTACTCTCCAGATAGTTCCTCACCCCATGAGGGCCTCACCGACACTATGAGGCAGGAGGAGCCATCCTAGCCTACCTGTGGTCCTTGCTGTTGTTAGTAAAGTCTCCATCCTTCATGTTGTTGGTTGATGTCACACCTAGAAACTAGAAACACTTGTGACAGAAGGTACCCCAGCAGTTTGGGCTAGAGTGGCAGCTGTGGTTTGGAGAGAAGACTATGCAGTGGCTGCTGCCCTTTTGCTCCTGCTTTCCACTGTCATGGAAGTTCATTGGGCATTTGCAGAGCCCCTGCCATGCGTGTGGCACTGTGCTGGGGTCTGGCGAACCCTGCCCTGTGTCTCACTGCCCAGTGGGAGACAGCTAGGACACCATGGTGAGCATCAGGTCTCCTAGTCCAGACCTGAGGTCAGAGGAGCTGTCAGGGAGGGAGGCGCAGGAGCCCACCTACAGTGAGAGGAGCTAACCAGCAGGGATCTGAGCTTCCTGGCTAGCAGTCTGGGAGGACCCAAGGGTGGAGAAGGCAGAGCGAGTTCAGGTCCCAGCTGGTTCCCAGGCAGCAAGGGGGCAAGGCTCTGGACTGTGAGGGACTCGCGTGTGTCCCGCAGAGGGAGGACTCTCTGTGGGGGTGGTGGCCTGGAAGGGCAGCTGGAGGACACCAGTGCTGCCTTCCAAAAGCCCAATCTGGCAGGCCTTGGGAGCCGGCAGCCCATAGCAGACAAGCTGGCCCTGTCTTAGGAGTGCTCCCTTTGTCTTGCAGTCGTGAGTGCAGAGGTGCTCCAGGCCCAGGAGGAGTGGGAGGCTGTGGACACCATCCACCCCGAGGCAGGTAAGCGAGGGCACCTGGTAGTTCTGGGGCTCTGGGATTAGGAGACGATTCCTGAGTGTTCTCGTTTTAGCAGTATGACATAGAATAAAATCTCTTTCCAAACCCAAGGATGGTGATGTTCTACCTCCAGGGGAATGGAGATGAACACCAGGGCTGCCAGCACTGCCTGCCATCCACCTAGCCCTGAGGGAGGCAAGGAGGACCCTGGGTAGGGGCAGCCTCTGCAGGGTGTGGAGGATAGAGGCAGGCAGCAGGGACCCCACACAGGATGGTCAGGTCGTTCACTATTCAAGAGGGCTGTGAGGACGGGGTAAAACCATCTATGAGAGTGCTCTGAGGTCTGGGAACAAATAGCCGCAAGTCTCTTTCTGAGAGGTCCAGATACAGGTGTGGGAGGATCGAGCTAGAACCTGGACCTAGCCTGAGTTCCATCAAGCTCCTGGAGAGACACGACAGGGAATAGCATTAGCCATCGCCTCTAGGGAGAATGGTAAGCTAATTCCCTGCAGGCTATAACAGGATAGGAGAAGGGCCTGCATGGTGTGAAATCAGAAATGCCCCTGAGCAAACCTGGAGCACACTCCCTTGAGGGTACCCACTCCAGGCAGTGACTTGCTCCCTCAAAGATGGGTAGAATTTGGGGACCCTTGCAGGTCACCTCTCTCTCTACTCAGTGCAGAGGGCAGCTAGCAACTCTGAACAGTCCAGTCCAGCAGGTAAAGCCAGCTCCTTGAAAGAGGAAGGCAGGGACTGGGGATGTGGCTCAAGTGGTAGAGCGCTTACCTGGCATGCGCGAGGCACTGGGTTTGATCCTCAGCACCACATAAAAATAAAGATATTTTATTTATTTTAGTTTTAAAACTAAAAAATAAAATAAAGGAAGGCTGTGGCTATGGGTGTCTGATGTTCAACTGGAAGCCAGTGCTTGGCTCCAAAGTGACAACCAGGAGGCTCTAGGTAAGGTTTGCGGACAGATTGACGACTGTTACAAGTCCTCAAGTATCTTCCCTTTTGCCACAGAGAGCTGGGGCTACTCAGACCAGCCTGGACAGCTCATCTCCTTTGGGGAGGCCCTGCAGCACCTCCAGACTCTGGACCTCTCTTCCTTCAAGGTAACAGGGAGGGTTGGGCTCTCAAGAAGGCTCCTGCTTCCCAGGAGCCGAGTTCCCCTCCCTCCAGGGTAGGGCCCTGGGCCAGCAAGTTGGAAGCTTCCATGTAAGGGCCTCATCTCACCTAGGGAACACTGGAGCACAGGATCCCAAGTGACCAGGGCCCATGACTCATCATGGCACTGGTAGCTTTGTGGGACTGTGCTTGTGGAGTTCCTGTGGCCCTGTCCTTCAGGGGCCTGTGCAGCTGTCCTCTGCTTTTCCCTCTTAGTGATGGGAGGTGGGAACCAAGGACCAGTAAGCGCCTTGGGGAGGCAACACAGCTGTCCAAGGAGCTGAGTGAGTCATAGCCAATGGAGGCAAGCTCCCTGAAGGATCCAGGAGCCACTTAGGAATCTTAAGTGTGGAAGGCCATCCTTGAACGTGATTTGAGTTACCTCCCTGGCTGGGCGAGAGGCGCTTAGGCACATCTTGTGTCCAAAGCTTTCCCCATCCTTCTCAGGTCCGAGGGCTTGTCTGTGTGGAGGTGTGCCTGGCCACCCAGTCATCACCCCTGATCTTGGGACACTGCCCCCACCTTAATCTTCATTGGATGGGATTTTCCCCAGAATTTTTTGTTCCCCAATAAAAGTCCACTCCCTGGCGTGTTCTCGCTCTCTCGCTAGCCTCTTCAGTAAACCTCACTACCACAATAGGTGGCTGGAGGCTGAAGCTAGGAAAAGCTGTCCTGGAGCTGGTTTAAAGGTAATTAGAGTCTGTCTCTTTAATTCAAAACTCCCTAGTGATTTCTCATATTCTGAACTTTCATCTATGAAGCCTGTGCTGGCCGCTGGCTAAACTTAAGAAATATGTGGGGTTAGAAAAGGAGGGAGTATGGGGGAATCCAGGCTGGGCTTTCTGGGACATCCTGAGTGTTTAGCAGTCAGTTGAGAAAAAGGCAGGTGCAGATCGTCAGCATGGAACCTGGCTCAGGAGTTGTGGTGGTCACTAGAGTCCAGAGAGTCAGAAGCTACCGATTGGAGTATCCCCAGGCCTGGGCTGGAGGTGGGCTCAGTGGTAGAGCATTTGTCTTTGCCTTGCGTGTGTGAGGCCCTGAGCTCCATACCCAGTCCCTTAAACAAAAGAAAAAAGAATGTTCTAAGGCTAGCAGCAGTGGTCCTGACCACAAGGAGCCAGCACAACCGAGCTTAGGAGGCGCTGGTCATGGCCAGGGCTGCAGCCACACCTCAGCCAGCGAGTTCCCATTAAGCCCCTCCCCACTGGCCCGCATCCTGGAAGTCGAGTTGTAATTCACCTTGTGAGAGAGGGAGATGGACATGTAAAGGGTAGGGGCAGCCCTGCTGAGAACCCTGGCCACCTTTTTGTCTAACTACATGGGGATTCCTCAGAGCTGGGCATCCCAGGAGTCACTGGAAGAGCTAGTGTTGGAAAATTCCGAAGGACCAAGTGCACAGAACTGGCAGGGAATATCTCTTTTATAATCCAACTTCAGGGCACCTCTTTCTCCCTGCAGAGAAGCTGGAAGAGCCTCTGGGAGGCTGGAGGGTTCTTGGCAGTCTCTGCCTTCTTTCACTCCCAGAGGCAGATGCTAGCTGGGAAGCCAACTGACCCCAGATGATGGTCAGTTCTATAAGGCAGGCTAAGCTGGCCCTTGGCCCATTACCTGTAATCTTTCTCCCCAGAAGAGAATACAACCAACTGTTCGAAGGACTGGGCTCGCCGCCCTCCGGCACTGCCTCTTTGGACCTCCAAAGCTCCACCAGGGCCTTAGGGAAGAAAGGGACTTGGTCCTGACCATTGCCCAGTGTGAGTGTTGGGACTGCCACAGGGCACACACTGTCTGGGTGCTGGGCTAGAGCACTGTGCCACTCATCCAAGGCCAGGCCAGGGCTCTTGCATGCACCTGAGGGCAGGTGGGAGCTGGAGCTGAGAGGAAGGTGTCTTGAGCACCCAGTCCTCCCACGGGATAGTCGGCAAAGCATTGGTGCTTTGGGGGGCAGGTGGCCTGGACAGCCAAGACCCAGTGCATGGCCGTGTGCTCCAGACCATCTACAAGAAGCTGACTGGCTCCAAGCTGGACTGCGCCCTCCGGGGAGACCACTGGGAGGACCTGGGCTTCCAGGGTAAGGAGACATGCACTTTCCCCTTGCTTGCCCCTGGTCCCACGGCCAGGGAAGAGGCTGCGCCAGCAGTGTGAGGCAGGATGGGGGAGACACCTCAAGGGTACAGCAAAGGCAGAGGCCGAGGACAGGAGGGGAAAGACCCCAGGCAACCCTCAGAAGCGACAGGACCTGGAATAGGATTGATTTGGTTCTGTGCTCTTTTTCTAGTGAAAATCTTATTATATATTTTTAAAATTAAAGGAAGATGATCTCACTTGTTTGGGGTGATACTTTTGTGGCATGTTTGGGAATCACTGGGTCAGTCTTGAAGCAGGATGTGAAGCTTTATTCACTGGTGGGCCAAGGGGCAGCAACTAAGTTGCCTCTGCATATCTTGACCCCTTGCAGAAAGTAGGATATCTCTTTTATAACCCAAAACCATGAGCTACCAGTAAGTCAAAACATAGCAAAGTAGGAAGTGCACTTCAGGGTATAGTAGTACACTGCTCAGGAAAAGTGGGAATTAAAAAGAGAACTTAATATGTTGTATAAGAATAACAGCATATGCTTAGCAGGAGGTGGGTTATGTAGCAGGGTTTCACATGGGAGAAGCATTTCTTATGTGAAATGGAGTCTCAGGGTAAAATGGAGTTTGTTTGGTCAAGGCACATATAGTTTGACCCATAACAATACTTTTTTTTCAAAATCATATTAGGTTATATTTGTATGGAATAGCAAATGACCTTAATTAGAAAAGCCTTTACGTATGCACACTTGGTTATAATCTGGTGGCACTGGCAGTGTATTTAAGCCTGTTTAGCTTAGTTGTCCTTCCTGCGTATTGAGAACCACACCATACAGTTGATTGCTTCCACCATCAAACATGATGTCAAAAACTCTGGAGGGAGGGCTGGGGCGCAGCTTGGTGGTGGAGCGCTCGCCCAGCATATGGTGGCCCTGGGTTCCCTTCCCAACACAAAAGTAAGCCACAGGGGCCTTGGCATCCCACCCATGCACCTGCTTGCTCCTCGCCTTGTTCTTCCCTCCTCGTATTCCAGGACTCCCTCTCCTAGTCTCCTGGGAAGAAAGTTTAGAGATTCCCTTCACCTGAGAATGCCTCTATCTCCCCTCCTCGGAGGTCTGTGGGTACCAACGTTAGCCTGTTTCTCCTTCAGCTCTTGAAGGTGCACTGCTTCCCTCTGGCCTCGTAGTGTCTGGTGAGAAGTCCACAGTCCACGGGCGCTTGACTTCCTCCCCTATGACTAAGAAGTGTGGTTCTGTCCGTGCTTCCTAGATCTTTTGTCTGTTGTTGTTGTTTTTTTTTGGTTTTTTTTGTTTTTTAATAACGGGGATTAAACCCAGGAGTCATGTCCCCATTCCATTTTTTATTTTGAGACAGGGTCTTGCTAAGTTGCTTAGGGCCTTGCTGAATTGCTGAGGCTGGCCTTGAAATTGCAGTCCTCCTGTCTTGGCCTGGGATTACAGGTAGGCGCCCATGATGCCTAGCTTTTGTCTTTAGATTTCAGGATTTTGACCAGAACATGCTTGGGGTTAGCTCAACTGCTTGAATCTGTCGGTTTTATGTCCTTTGTGAAATTTGGTAAATTTCCACCCATGATTACTTTGAATACTTCTTCAGACTTTGTCTTCTCTTGTGCTCAGGCCACAAAGTTAGACCTTTGCTGCTGTTGGGTTTTGTGGTTGTGGACATTGAACCCAGGGCCTCGCACTGCTAGGTAGCTGTTGTACCACTGAGCCACATCCCCAGCACTTTCTGCTCATTCTTTAGATCTTTGTTATAACCTAGTAGATCTCCCATGCTTCATTCATCTCTGCTCTTTCCCCTGTACTCTTGCTCAGATGGGGTAATTTTATTTGTTCCACCTTCATAGTCACTGATCTCTCATTCTTTATCTTCAATGTTTAGATTTATTTGATGTATTTTTTCATTTCTAAAGTTTCCATTTGTTTTTTTCTTATTAGTATTTCTTCAGTGGAACTAGAGGTGTAGCTCAGTGGTGGGGTACGAGCTTAATGTGCACAAAGCCCTGGCTTCCATCCCCAGCACTGAAAAGAGAAAAGGCAAAGTATATTCATTCATAATGGCTCTTGAGAGGCAGAGCTGCTGTGGTAGTTTTCTGCTGTTGGTATGACAAATCTCCAGTTTAGTAGCTTGGAATAACACAGCATGTTCACTGTCCTCTGATTCTGCAGTCCAGAGGTCCCACGCAGATCAAGGCTTCATGGGCAGCCCTCCTTTTTGGAGGCTCTAAGGGAAAATCCACTTCTTGTCTTTCCTGTTTTCCAGAGGCCTCCTGCATTCCTTCTTCTCAGAGCCAGAAACAGCTCCTGTGAGCCACCCTCTCTCTGGCCCTGTGCTTGTGCCTCCCCTTCTGCTCTTGGGGACCTTTCTTACCACACTGGGCCCTCCCCAAGAGCCCAGGAGAGTCACCTGCTCTGCTGATGAGCATCTTAATCTCTTTCCCATGCAGTGTATTCGGAGGCACTGGAGATGGAGGTGTGAGGCGTTCTTCTGTCTACAATGGCTGCTCTGAAAGCCTTGCCACGTCACCCCAGCTCTGTGTCACCTTAGCATTGTGTCTATTGAGGGTCATTTCTCATGCACACTGAGGATGAGAAATGAGATCATCCTGTTCTCAGCTTCGTATGTGGTTTTCTGTTACATCTTGGACATTTTGAGTATTGTGTGAAGACACTCCGGATCTCATTTATATCTCCCATTCTAGCAGGCCTCCTCGGATGCCATGCCAGTGGGGAAAGGAGGGCTGTCACCTCACTGGGTAAAGCCCAAGTGTCCCTTTGGGCCTCTGGACAAAACTGGCTGGGAGGGGCAGGAGTACTTCACAGCTACTTTCACATGACCTCCACTGACGTGCAGAGAGGACAGGGTTGCTCCTTACCACTGGGAAGAATAAAAATGCCTCGTTACAGACAGGTCAGGGCAGAAGTTCAGGCCCCTGTGGGGCCTTTGCTGAGGAGTGGGAGTGGGGACATGTTTCTCTGTCCTGTTTGGCTGGATAGGATGGTTATTATCTAAAGTGTTATGTCTTGGCTAGGCATGGAGGCCCATGCCTGTAATCCCAGCAGCTTGGGAGGCTGAGGCAGGAGGATTATAAATTCAAGAGCAGCCTCAGCAATTTAGCAAGGCCCTAAAAGCTTAATGTGATGTTATCTCAAAATAAAACATAAAAAGTGCTGGGGATGTGGCTCAGGGGTTGAGCACTCCTGGGTTCAGTCTCTAGTACCAAAAATATAAATAAATAAAAATAAAATGTTCTTTCTTGCTAGGCTGCTTCTCTCCTGGCCCTTTGGCCAGAACAGCAGGCTTTCTTGGGTCTTTCTCTATTTGTGCTACCGTAATCTGTTTTCTGTTGCTATAATGAAATACCTTCTTTAAAAATGGAAGTGGATCTGGCTTGTGAGTATATTGGCTGGGAAGGTCAAGAGCGTGGCATCCCGTCTGCTGGGCCTCTGGCTGGGGCCGTCCTGCTGTGACATGACGTGGCAGAGGACAGCACACGGCCTAACAGAGAAGCACATCCCCTGAGTCGCTCCTCTTCATGTGAAGCTGCCAGTCCCTTCATGGAGGCCCCACCCTGGTGGCCTCATCGCAGCCTGGTTACCTCTCAAAGGCCCTACCACCCAAAGCCACCAATATATGAATTGGGGGTTAAGTTTCTAGCACATGAAATTTGGGGCATACATTCAAGGCGTCGCATGCTCCCCTTGGCATTTCTGGGTTGCCACTCTTCTCCAGCTTTTGGATGAAATGTATTAGGCAAAAAGAAACCCAAAAACTTCACCACAGTGTTGTTCCAGGATTCAGAGCACTGGCCCGGCGGAGGCGCCTGGCTGTTGCAGCTGCTCTTGGTGGAGTCACAGGGAGGATGTGTTACTCATCTCCCTGGAACCAGAAGTTCAGATGTGTCTTGTAAAGGCTCTTAAGTGCCTCCAGAGGGCCATGCAGACAAGAGAAAACTGCTGTCGGAGGTGGCCCCCGGGATGCCGGGGGACAGGCCTGGGTGGTCCTGGAGAGCCAGCGGAAAGGGGCTGGTATAGGGCAGCTCCCCAAGCAAGTCCCTAGAGGTCAAGGGGTCAGGGCTTGGTTGAGCCCACTCACCATCATGTCGAATTTTCTCATGGCTGTTGTAGGAGCGAATCCAGCCACAGACCTTCGAGGGGCGGGCTTCCTTGCCCTCCTGCATCTGCTGTACCTGGTGATGGATGCAAAGACCTTGCTGATGGCCCAGGAGATTTTCCGCCTGTCTCGTCACCACATTCAGGTGGGCTTTGGTGGGAAGCCAGAGGAGAGAGCTCTGGAGCAAGGAACTGAGCAGGCGGGAAGACTTCACTGGTTGAGACTGATACTAAGGCTCTCGGATAGTGAGTCAGACCCTGTCATACGATGTGTTGGAGTCTGAACTCCACCACTCATTAGATGTGGTCTCGAGCAAGTTCTCAGCAGTATGGAGCCTTAGTCTCCTCATCTGATGATGGGGATCCCAGCAACTGGATCTGGCTCCTTGAGAAAATTAAATGGGACTGCACACAGAGCACCAGACACACACGGGAAGCTGTTCACCCTCTGCGCCTTGAGGAGACCCTTGCTCAGGGTTGGTGGCTTCTCCTGACCCTAAAGGCAAGGAGTCAGCCCTCAGCTAACCCTGTACTCGCCATCAGGGTCCTGCTCTCTGTCCAATCCTGCCTTCTGGGCTTAGGGCTGATGGTTTCCTAAGCAGTGAAAGGAGGTAGTCCCTCCATTTTAGGGGACAAGTTTGACCTGCTTCCTTCCCTCGTCTAGCCCAGGTTCCTGGGAGCTGGGGCTCACTCACCGCTGCATGGAGGTCGTTCACATCCCATGTTAGTCACTTCTCGTGGAGCTTGGGATGCCTCAGGAGCAAGACAGGATCCCCTGCAGAGCTGGCATGACGTAGGCTTAGTGCCCAGGTCCATTAGAGCATGAGAGGCAGCAAGTGCTAAGAAGGCACAGTGGGGTGGGTCAGAGAGGAGGAGGAGCTGGTGACAGGATCCCACCAGAGGTGAGCCAAGATGTCACCAAGCCTTGAAGAAGGTTGGGGAAGGACACTCCAGGCAGAAGGAGAATGGCAAGGAAACCAGTGGGAGTGGGAGGGACACAGGAACGCAGCAAGACTTGGCCCAGAGGTGGCAGCCAGATTCCACAGGCCTGCCAGCCACAGGAGAGGCTCCAGGTTTTTCCTTGAGTCAGATGAGGAGCGGCTGCAGGGTTTGAGCAGCTGTTCTTACTGTTAAATTAAGGTGAAGGGTAGTGTTCAGGAAAGGCTTTCTTCAGGTCCAGGCTGGTGGTGATCGGGGGCTGGGGCTGGGGGTCTCTAGAGGAGATACTGATTATACAGAAGTCAGTGTGGGCGTAAGAGTGTAGAGCAGCTGTGTTGAGGGTTGAGCAGGGTTAGGGCTAAGAAAGCAGACAGTGGGGTTGTTCAGTACATGCAGCTGAAAAGGAGAACAGGGCTGGGGTTCTATTTTCCACACGTATTTTTAAAAATCCCTCAGACTTGGAAGTGGCAGTGTTAGTAAGCAGTTGGATATATGAGTGTGGAATTAGGGAGAGGGCTGTGGGCTAGACCTGTGGCTCCAGAGATGCCCTCCATCAGCCTTCCTGGGACTTGTTAGAAATGGACCTTCTGCGCCCTCCCCAGACCTCAGGAATCAGAAACTCTTGAGGGGGCCAGGACACCGTGTGCAGGACATTGTGTGCGAGGGATCCTGGGAACCTCCAATGAAGGTGGTTTTCAGGGGTGAGGCAGCCTAAGCCACTGCAGCATGAAGTGGGCAGCGCAGGCTGAAAGCAGGACGGGAGCCCAGGGGTGGGTGCCACTCTGGAAGCCAAGTGGAGCAGGCCTGAGCCACCTGGGCGGATGGTGCCGACTACGGAGAAGAGCATCTGCAGTGTCTGGGTTTGTCCTCGGGGATCTTGATGTGAGCATTTTCAATGAGGGTTAGACACAAAAGACCTTGATTTAGATTGGGTGTAAGAGGGAATTGGAGGGATAAATTGGAGATGGTAAATTAGACAACTTTTTCAAGGAATTTTGTCACAAAAGGGAGCAAACAAGGCATGGTAGTGGGAAGGATACTTTTCAGTAGTTTTTATTTCACATAATTCCAAGTACTTGCAATTTTCAAGTGGGCAATATCATCTGATAAGGTGGCAATCAAAGCTGGGGGCTGTGGGAGGAGCATGTACAGGGATCTGCAGAGCAGAGGTGCCTCCCCTCCACATCCGCAACAGCAGCACTGTGGGCACACAGCCAGGTCCACGAGTCAGTGAGTGTGGGAATATATGCTGTTAACATGCAGCAGCGGCATGCTGGAGTAGGGAGCACGGAGCACTACTGTTCTGCCAGGGACGTGGTGGCAGGATTTGGGGAGTTGAGGAAGGGTGAGAGGTGTGGACCAACCAAGGCTTAGCAGAGGCTCGTGGGGCTGGGATCCAGGAAACCAGTTGTGACCTGAGGGTCTGGGGAGAAGTGTATAGTCACCGCAAGCAGAGGTGCGAAGAAGACGAGCTTGGCCTCAATACATTCAGGATATATAGGTGGCCAGGTACGGTGATGCACACCTGTGATTTCCCACAGTTCAGGAGGCTGAGGCAGGAAGACCTCAAGTTCAAGGCCAGTCTCAGAATTTTAGCAAGACCCTGTCTCAAAATCTCAAAAAGGGCTGGGAATATAGCTTAGTGGTAAAGTGCCGCCCGGTTCTATCCTCAGTACAATAAGTAAATAAATAACGAGGTAGGGCAGCAAAGTGTTGGAATGAAGGGAGCTGTTGGGACCCCACACACCCTTAGCCATTGGGTCACATTGTCTTAAAGAGGCCAAGTCTAAATAATGCACTTTAATTTTTATTTTGAAATAATTTTAGACTTAAAAATTGAAAAAGTAACCCAGAGTTCCCATATATCTTTCTCTTACCATCCGCTAGAAATAACCTTGTGTAGTCCTAGAACCATTATCAAAACTAAGAAAGTATTAGCTGAACTACAGCCTTTGTTCAGTGTTCTTTCTGTGTGTGCTGTGCTGGGGTCGCAGCCTGGGCCTCATGCTGGCTAGGCAAATGCTCTGCCACTGAGCACACCCCAGCTGCGGAGCACATAACCTCAGTGGAACCCTGGTTCCCTGCCTTAGGAGAGCCGCTCAGAGCCACTGACCTCAGTGTTCTCACCTGTAAGATGGGATGACAGCATGAGCAGCCACCTCTGCCTCTGACTGGCTCTGGCCAAGCTGGGCTCAGGGTAAAACAGGGTGAGGCTGGGCAGCCACTGACCCGCTGCCCCTCCATTCCAGCAGTTTCCTTTCTGTTTGATGTCTGTGAACGTCACCCGCATCGCCATCCAGGCCTTGAGGGAGGAGTGTCTCTCCAGGTGAGGCCCAGCTGCAGCTGGTTAGTGTGACCCCTGCTAGTCCTGGAGAGCCTGGGCAGAGTCCCTGTGCACCAGTCTCCAGCCACCTCTGCTCCCCGACTTGGCCCAGGAGCAGAGCCGCCTGGAGAGCAGTGGTATCTGGGTTTGGCTGGCTCCTCTAGGGCTCCCTGAAGGGAGGGAGGGAGGGTGCCCGGGTGTCTGCCTTGTCTGTGGCTTAACTGGCCACCTCCCTGGTCTCGTAGGGAGTGTAACCGGCAGCAAAAGGTCATTGCCGTGGTGAACAGCTTCTATGCTGCCACTTTCCTCCGCCTCGCCCACATCTGGAGGACCCAGCAGAAGACCATCTCAGACTCGGGCTTTGTTCTCAAAGGTGTGCTCTTTGTCCTGGGGAGCTGCAGCCCCTGAACCGTGTCTCAGGTCCAGAGACCCTGGTGGTTTCTGCTCCGGGCTGCAGCTCCCTCTCCTGCCCCCATGCAGCAGCCACCCTCCAGGGCCTGCTGCTCTGAGTTCTATGCCACTACTCCCTTCCTTCCTGGCCATGTGCCTCTGGGGGTCACATTTTCTGAATCAAACATGGGAACCAAGGGTCCAGCAGGGGACTGACTCTTGAGAGCTAAGACCAGCTGGATAAGGCAGCACATGGGCCTGCGCTCTCTTGTTACTCTCCGTCCTAGGTGGTCTTTCACGTTGGCCTCCCTGGCCCAGGGGTTAGGAGTGCTCACTGGAGCTGCTAGGCTCAACGCCCTGTCTGTTGGGTACCCAGAGCTCCTTGAGCTTTCTTTTCCCTAATCCTCTCCTCCAGATTTGGAAGCGTTGGCCAAGAAGAGCCCACGGCGGCTGCTCAAGACCCTGGAGAGCTACCTGGCCCGGGCATCAAAGGGACAGGCCTCCTTATTGGCACAGAAGTACCCTGGGCCACAAGCCTCTTGCGCCTCAGATCTCACCTTCACAGGTGTGTGTGACCTGCAGCCCCACTCCTCTGAGGGTGCAGGGCTGATCTGAGCCTCCCAGAGACCAGCTGATAGAAAGACTCCCAGCCTGGGCCACCAGGCTTCCAAGGACACATGGCAAACCACGTCTAGTGCCCCCTGGCCAGGCCAGGCGCTTTCCTGCCTCGGCAAATGAGGTGAGAAGCTCCTGGACCTGGGTACCCTCACCAGTGCGAGATGCTCTGGGCGACTAGACCTGACTGCTCCCTGCAGACCTGCCCCAGGAGCAAGCAGAGTCCTGCCGTCCCACCCGTGCTCCCGCCCCCAGGGCTGCATCCCAGCATTCGTGGCAGTGAGTGGTGCCACGCCTCTCCACAGCATAGGAGCTTGCCAGGTGGAGACAGCTGGAGCTCTGGCTCCCTGGCAGCATTGAGTCCTACCTCTGGGTCAAATCCCAGGGGGAGGAGCAGCGATGACAGCCAGCAGGAGGCAGCACTGGCAGCTGGTGCCGCTCCTCCCCAGGCCTCCCCTCCTCTCCCCTCAGTTTGTGGTCTAGAGATGGGCATTGGGCTGGTGGCCCCGGCTGCCCCATCCCAGCTGCCCACCAGCTAGGGGCTTGTCCTGGGAGACTGTACGCTTCCTCATGATTGTTTTCTGTCCTGAGTGAGGAAGGAGGAAGTTGCTCACACACCAGCGCTTCTAGAATAAAGCAGTTGCTCCAGTTGGAGAGTCTGGTCCCCACCGTATCCTTCCAGGACCCGTCTTGCAGGGCCTTCCTCTGCCTTGTCCCAGGTCCCAATTAGAGCCCTGCAGGTGGAAGCATGTGGCCCAAGAAGGAGCAGCTGTCTATGCCCTGGCCAGACTTGGCACTGAGCTCCTGCCAGGCTCATCTTCACTGGCTGCAGGTGCGAGCTCTGGCCAATGGACACGGTGGCCCTGGGTCTTATCAGGGTAGACTGGCATGGTGTCCTGCATTTGCTTCTGGACAAGCCTGGCTCTGTTGCTCCCCTCACAGCTCCAGGCCAGGCACCCGAGCTGGGGGTGGGGGCAGGTGAGAGCCCCCTCCATGCCTCCATCCTTCCTTCAGGCCTAACAACTGCAGGTGGGACCCATTCCAGAGGTGAGGATGACAGATGGCCTTCTAGGTGCAGAAGGATACTCCCTCAAGTGCGGCTGGTGACAAGCCCTGCCGTCTGCCTCATGTCACCTTTGCTGGACTTAAACAAGGCTTTGTTCTGTGAATTCCTGCAGCAGCGCCCTCAGACCAGCAGAGGGGGATGCAGGCACAGTGGGCTTGGAAGGGAGGAGAGCTGCACCTGGGTCGCGTTGCCGGAGCCTCAGTCAGGTGTCCTCCCTCCCTCCCTCCCGTCACCTGAAGGCCCACTAGGAACATGGGCCCCACCCGTGGGGGCTAGGCTGCATGCCAGGGCTCTGGCTAGGCTGCATGCCAGGGCTCTGGCTAAAGGGGAGCAGCTGTCCCCTCAGGAGCAGCAGTGGTCTTTCCTCCCCCTCATGGCCTGCTTGAGGCTCCTCAGACCAGAGTGCTCATGGCTGCTTTCCTCAAACCTTCAGCAGTGGCCAGTGGTGTAGTCCAGGAGCTGTTAAGGTACAGGGCTGCCAGAGGGGAATGAACCCTCTGACAGGAGATGCAGAAATCTTAACCTGTGCGTTTTCCTTAGGGAATGGCCTTGCCCTCCACGGGGACTTGCAGTACTCCGTAAATCTAAAACTATTAACAGAGCCACTGTGTGTGTGCTAGCCTCTTGCCTTTCAAAGCTGTGCCTGGCACCAGCTCTTGCATCCTGTCAGATCAAGGATGGGAGGATGTGGGGATCTGCAAAAGGCAAGTGGTTTTTCAGTGTTGTGTGGCACAAAATCAGCAAGAAGAATTGATCAGCTTTGGAGCTGGGAGCCACCACTGCCTCAGGACGAAGCCCTGCCTGGCCTCAGGGCTCAGGCTTGTCCAGGCCACACCTGCTGTAGCACCCCTCTGCCCCTTGGCACTCCTCCCTTTGCTGTCTCTCCCCCACACCACACACAGGAGAAGGAAGCAGGTGAAGACAAGAGGGGCAACTTGCCCAGGAGCAAGAGAGGCAGACGCCCAGACAAGAATGGTGCTTATCTCTCAGCCCCACCCTGGGCCATCAGCCAGCAGGACCCAGGCCACCTCCAGTCCCCCTTGCCTCCATGGCCCTAGGGACTGTGAAGCATCTGGAGGGACAATGAAAACCCACCCAGGCAGGCAGTGGGAAGAGTGGGGAAGGCACTGGTTTCCTTTATTGAAGTCAGCGGGGCTTCTCAACACTGAGCAGGCAAAGGCAGGCAGGGGCAGGGGGACGTCCACCCTCACTTCCAGTCCTTGAAGAATTGCTTGAAGATGGGACTTTCGCGGCCCTGGGGCAGAATCTCCACCTGCAGGACAGTGGGGAGAAGGCTGGCTTGGAAGCTGCCACCTCTATCACTAACAGGGGTGGGACAGAAGGCCCAAGCACATGCAAGCCAGGCCAGGCAGCTCCTCCAGATACGCGGAGAGAGGAGACGGGTTACAGGGACCGGGCTGAGAAAGCCCTGCTTCAAGGACCAGTGCAGTTTGGCAGAGGCCACCTGTTATCCATGAGCCCTATCAGAACGAAAGGCTACCAGGGGTAGTCACAGCCAGAGACAGTAGTCCCAGGGAGCACAGGCCAACCACACTGGACAAGGAGGCCCAGGAGTGGGGCCTGGGGCCCAAGGTGCCTCCTCACCTGAGTGTTTGCGGCATACTGCATGCGGGAGATGAAACCTTCCGCCACTTGCAGGGCCGCCTGCCGCTCCTTCTCGTTAGCCTTTCTCCCTGCAGCACAGGAAGAGTAAAGAACAGAGATCCTTTAGAGTTTCCATCCCATTTTTCTTGAGGAAATTTAACAGGGGTCCATAGACTAGCTATCAAATTTTTGTTAATGCGAATGCCAAATAGCTCTTTGGAAGTATGAAATTGGCCTCGTAATACTTTTTCTAAACTGGCATCTCAAAGGTAAATGAAAACTACTTCTGCCAGGTCTGACCATCAAAACCCACGCTGGAGCTCTTGACCACTTGGATTCCATCTCCAGCAGCACAAACTACCTTCTACTCTGACCAGGGCCCTGGGGATACATCAGGAAGAATGGGTTTTCTCTCTCCATCAAACTGTAGGGGCAGGACCCTTACCTGTTGTGCCTGTCAATTGTATGGCTAGCAAGCCTTTTCTTTTCTTCGTACTGAGGACTGAACCCGGGGGCACTTTACCACTGAACCATATCCCAAGCCATTATTTATTTGTGGTGGTGCTGGGGATTGATCCAGGACCTTGTGCAGGCGAGGGAAGCACTAATCCAACTGAACCATACCCCCAGCCCTTATTTTGTATTTTGAGACAGGGTTTCACCAAGTTGCCCAGGCTGGCCTTGAACTTGCGATTCTCCTGTCTCATCCTTCCAAATTGCTTTAATATAGGCATGGTCACCGTGCCCAACTCAAGCCTTCTTGACAAACAGAACAAAAGGGACAATTTATTATGGAGAACGGACTTCTATAATGCCAGTGAGTCTCCACTGGTATAATGGTTGTGCTACTGGAGTGCTAATCAAAATAAACCACGCAGAATCCACCCATTTCTGCAGGACAGTCCTTAAACCCAACCTGTGCTCCAGTTCAAGGCATTTTTCCCAAAGAAATAGTGCTGGGAATGGTGGCTGGCTCTGCAGCCAGGCTGTGGGGACCCCGTGAACTACAGCATATCTGAACTGACATGCTTCAACTCCCTGTGAACACACCAGCCGCACCCGACCCACAGGCACCCATCTTCCTGGCTTTCACACTCCCCATTTCTCCTCTGGATTCTCTTTCTGTAATAATTCTTTGCTTGAGGTTCCTATGCTTGGCATCAGTGCCGCAGGGCACGTCCCCTCCAGGGAGGGCAAAAGCAGCCCTAGCAGGAGCCTTTCTCATCCCCTCCCCAAATCCTAGAGATCAACCATGCTGCCAGCACCTCCAGGCCCCTATCCCAGGTCTCTGCTGGATTTGGGAGGCCACAGTATGAGCCGCTGGGAGCCGCCATCTCTGGACACCTCACCTCTCTTTCTGACCAGGCTGGGGGCTGGCAAGTTCCACATCTTGTTAACCCTGTAGCTATCTCATCGAGACCATCAGATAAACATAGTTCCTGCTTTAGAGAAGCTTGTCCGCTGATCAGGAAGGTGAAACAGGCTCCAGGAAGCAAAGCCAGGGCCCAGGGCCTGAGGGCCAGAGCCAGCAGGACAGGAGGGCTCAGCACAGCAATACCCCTCCAGCCAATACCATCTCTCGATACCATCTCTTGGGAAACAAGTTCTGTGAGTTCACCACCCACTGCATAAGGTGATGTGTAATTTATCTAGAATTTACCTGTCACACCTTGAGGCAGAGTCCAGGGTTGGGGTTTCCAAGCCCTGAAGGCCAAGGAAGGGGCTAAAAGAGTGGTTGCCAGGAGTGGTAGCTGCCCCCAGGTCTAGCGAGCTTAAATCTCTGGGGCAGGACCCAGCAACACGTCTGAGTAGGCCCTCAGCAACTGTAGGGGGCTGCAGCTTCAGAGCAGTGGCCATGGGTGCCTGCCTGGGCCAGGGCAGCTACAGGGCCCAGGCGGCTGTGGAGAAGCCCCGCGTACCCTTCCAGATGTAGATCTTGCCACAGAGCCCGTTGTCCAGCACGAAGCAGTCGTCGGGCACCAGCAGCTCAGGGGCAAAGGGGCTGGAGTCGGCCACCTTGGTCAGGTCCATCTGTCCAGTGGCATCAGAGACCTGAGGGGGGGAGGGAAGGCCAAGTCTGACTTCCCGGAGCACCAGCCCTCGTCTCAGCCCAGAGAGGGCCAAGGCCCTCTCTCCTGCTCCCCAGAGCCTTGCCCTGGCCGAGGCAGCCCCCACCCCTGCCCTCCACCTCGATACTGCTGGGCATTGCCTGGTGAGGCTCCAAATCCACTGACTCACCAGAGGAGTTCAACAGAGGACACTTGGAACTAGCTTCTGAACTTCACCAGGAAGGGCCCCAAGGTGAAATGACAGTTATGTCCTTGGGGATTGCCACCCCCCACTTCCCATCCTCCTGCCCTCTGAGCTGCTCCTCTACCTTCAGCCCCAGCCCTGCGCCTGCTGCACAAGGCCTGGAGTGCCCACCTTGTAGAGAGCCGCAGCTTGGGCATTCGTCTGGTCGGCTGTGAGGTCTTCTTCAGGGTTCCCCTCCTTCAGAGCAGGCTTGGGGCCCAGAACCTGCAGAGCCAGAGCAGGCCAGGTATACTGGAATTCCTGCCCCCAAACTTTAAAGCCGTCACGCTCAGGGCCACCCCTCTGGTCTGGCTCACCATGTCCTGCACCAAGGCACTAGGGAGAGTGAGCACACCCCACCCACCAGCCAGGCTGCCTGCTCCTCCTCACAGAGACGCCTGTACCCTGGCCCAGCCACCCTCGCATCCCAGCTCATCACTGACTCTCTTGACCACTTCCAAGGAGGGCGCCCAGCTGCCCATGCCAGTGTCCTCCAACCTGGATCATCTCAGCAGGCTCCTCCCCATCAGTGACGATCTCCACTTGGGCCTTGCCCTGCCGCTCGCTGTCCCGGATGGCCAGGGCCAGGTCCCGGGCCTTGTTGCGCTCCAGGATGTTGGACCTCCCACCACACCAGGCAAAGATGCTCTGCAAGGAAGGGGGCAGCCCAGTCACAGCCAGCAGCCGAGTCCTGCCTCAGCCCAGAAGGGTCCTGTTCTCCCTGGAGGACTGTCCCTGGATATGTGACAGAAGGCAGGGACAGACTCCAGAGGCCTTAGAGGAAGACTGTGCTATTCTTGCCCATGTCACCTCTCACTCTAGGAAGTGAGCCTGACAGACTTGCTCCCTGCCCTGTGCCCTCGCCAAAGCTGAGCTGGCACATAGTTAGGCACAATACAGATGTGTGCTGAATGGCGGGGGGGGGGACAGGCTGCGGGGAAGTGGGGATGCCACCCCAGAGCTGTTTCCCCTCCCCCGTCTCCTCTCCTGAACTGCCACTGGATACAAGGCCTGTCCCTGTGTCCCTGCCTCCACTCATCACCGCCGCCCTCCTGAGAACAGCGAGGTTGACCCTCCCACCTAATCTTCAGCCATCCTCCAGCCCCAAAGCAGTGTCCTCAAGGCCTTCCTTAGCCACCTGCACTCTAGGACCATGCCCCTTCCCTCCCCAGCCCTGCTCGCCTGCTCCCTCCCCTGAAGGTCCATCTTTGGCTTCTCCCTGGGATGGGGGCTGGTGGTCCCTCCCTGCCTGAGAGCCCCAGCCCCTGGCCTCTGACCTACTCACTGCTGCATGGGCTAGGATGGGGACAGACCATCTTGGCTGCCTCCCCAGGCCCCCATGCTGGCCCAAAGGAGCATCCTGGACTCAATGCATGAGTGGCCAGCAGGCAGGTAGCCCAGGCCACCATGGCTCCTGAGAGCGAGGGAGTGGACTCAGAGCCTGGGAACACCGCCAGAGGCCAGCTCTGCCCACAGTGGCCCTCTAATGTGGGTGCAACCAGATTCAACCAAAGATCAGAAATACTCAGACACATTGCGTCTGTGCTCCCTGCAGTTACTCCCTACCTCTCCAGCACTCACCCGGGAGATGTTGTGGTCACCTGGAGGGGACCAAGTACACAGTTAAGTGCCTGAGTCTACATAGAGGCCATCTTACACAGGTCAGAGCCACGGGGCTCTGGTGGCTGTGGCCCTGGAGACAACCCCAAGGGCTGGGCTGGGGATGGCACTCCCTGGTGGAGGGTCCACTGGGAGTGGGGTATGGCCTCATTCCTTGCCCAGCCTCGGCCACCCACCTGGCCCAGGTCCAGGATGAAGCAGTCCCCGGTGTTGAAGCTGTCCCAGCTCAGCGCCCGCTCTGTGGCCCGGATGTTCTTCTTCCCCTTCACCTGGTAGAGCTTCCTGATGGCCGCCGGGGCTGTCCCAGGGGAGGTTTTGTGGAATGCTGACTCCACACCGCCTTCCTGCAGCCCAGAAGGGACCCCTTCATGCGCCTGAGCGACCAGGGCTCTGCACCCCACCCGCAGGAGACAGGCAGGAAGGGGGGACACAGGCTGAAGTTGCCCTGACCTGGTACTTGAGGCCCCGCGGGAAGTAGCTCATGAAGAGGTCAGACTCGTTGCCCTGCACCTCCCGGTGCTGCACGGGCCGCTCCCCTAGCAGGGTGTTGAGGTGGACAGCCAGCACAGCGCAGGCCCCCTGCTCGTCCCGGGAAGACTGCTGGCCTGGGGCAGGAGGGAGGTGGAAGGGCAAGGTCCCCGAGGCCCATGCCAGCCCCCACCCTGAGCCAGACCCCACCACTCTGCCCTGTACCTATCCACAGGTGGAGATGAGAGAGCTCTTCCGGGCCATTGTACAGCACCAGGTAGGAGTCCCCCGAGAAAAAGACTCCCTGGGTCTCGCGCGCCACAGGCACCGGCTTCAGCTTTTCCACCCGCCACACATGCAGGCCAGGATCCCGCACGGAGGCCGGGAATGGAGAGCCACTGCGGGGAGGGAGAAGGCTGGTGCCCAGGACTGGAGGAGTGGATGAGGGCTCAGGGAGTGGGCAGCCCTGGGGGTGCTGGGAGGGGAGGGTGGGTGGCTGCCTACCTCTTGGGGATGGGTGTGAACATGTTGTCTCCGGACCTGCAAGACAGAATATCCTTGTCACAGGGACTCAAGGGCCCTCACATATGGGTCTGGAAGGCCCTGCCAGGTGGCCAGGTATATTCAACTACTTCACTTACAGGAGTCCAAGAGGGGATTGCCCCTGGTTCAATTACACAGGCAAAGAAAAGCAGGTGGAGAGTCAAAGTCCAAGGTCACACATGGTCACTCAGCTGGGCATGGCTTGTGGAGACCAGATCTCTGCACCTGGCCAGGTGTCCCCACTGTCTGACCTCTCAGCCACACCTGCCTTCCACTCAGACCCCAATAACCAAGACTGGGAGGCAGCTCTCTAAGCAGAAACTGCCATTAGAAAAGCCAAAAGCCAATGGCTTCAGCTTCCACCATAAAAAGAAAAGGACAGAAAAGGACAGCTGGGCACAGCGGTGCACGCCTATGATCCCAGCAGCCCGGGAGGCTGAGGCAGGAGGATTGCAAGTTCAAAGCCAGCCTCAGCAACATTGAGGCTCTCAGCAACTCAGTGAGCCCCTGTCTCTAAATAAAATACAAAATAGGGCTGGGATGTGGCTCAGTGGTCAAGTGCCCCTGAGTTCAATCCTTTGAACTGTGGGCTTCCCTAGTCTGGGTTCTGTGCTACGAGAACAAGCAGCCTGCCTATCCAAAAAAAAAAGCCCAAAATGAAAGGACAAGCAAATGAAGGAATTAAATAATAAAAATAAAAGCAGCCGGGTGCAGTGGCACACGCCTGTAATCCCAGCAACTCTGGAGGCTGAAGCGGGAGGCTCACAAGTTCAAGACCAGCCTCAGCAATTTAGCAAGACCCTGTCTCAAGACCCTGGGGATGTAGCCCTGGTAGACAGAGCATCCGAGGGTTCAATCACTAGTACTGCATTAAGAAAAAACTATATCTCCCCTTGCTTAATCTATTTATTTTATAAACTAATCAAAGTGCACATGTAATTTTCACAAGAGGGGGTGGGTTTTCAATAACTCTAAGATGCCCAGGTTTCCCATAAAAGTGGGAGAGACAGATCTGAGAAGACTGAGCTTGAGAAGTGAGAGGGATGGACAGGTGCATGGGACCTCAGATCAGCATTGTCCTTCCTTGTCCTTCTCCTTGTCTCTCCTACTTCTTATTTCTTCTAACCTGCCTCAGAGTCACTGTAGGTTCTGTAGAGATTCAAATGACAACTGAAGGATTTCAAAAGTTTTATGCCAGTGCATTCACTGTCTCAGGTGAACAATGAACAAGCGTGGTCCTGGAAGGTACAGAGTGAGAACTCAAGGAGAAACAGACGGCCCGAGCTGGGGCTGAAAGGCACCTACCAAACACAGCAAAGTGAAGCCTCACTAAATGTCCTTAAAGGCTGCCTAACTACTCCCTGCCCTCAGCGGCTCCCCAGCCTGGTCCCTGGCATCACTGTGTGCCCAGCTCCCTTCAGTGCTGGCATGAAGCACCCATCTCTATTGCATGGGTCAGGAAGGACGACCCATGGCACGGATTGTGGGGAGAATACAAAAAGCAGGCATTTTAAAAACACATCATCATCATCTTTAAGGTTCAGAAAATGGGTGGCGACAGCTGGTTTCTTCCCACATTGCGGCACACCACACAACACACACCGTGTGCCCACCCAGCTCAGCTTTGCAAGGGGCCTCCCTCTAGGCAGAGTCAGGGCGAGGGGAACCAGCTGAGAAGCCAAGGGGTGTCACTGGGACGATCTTGGAGCCACTGAATGGAGACCAGGCGAGCAGGGGCGGTCTGAGCAGGCACCAGGGCGGGTGAGAGCAGGGTGATGGGTGTGCAGTGCCTGAAAACCACGCCTTTCCTTTTCCACCAGCAGCTACAGAATAGCAGAGGCGTTCTTTGGCATCCCAGGAGGAGAGGAAGGGAGGGGAGTTGCTTCTGGGTCCCACCAAGGGTCACATGCTATGCCCACAGGCCCTGGCTGAGTCACCAGCAGGGAGAGCTCAAGGAAGGAGTGCGGTCAGAAGCTGTGGGCTTCCCTAGTCTGGGTTCTGTGCTACGAAAACAAGCAGCCTGCCTGTCCAGGCCGTGAGCCCCCACAGCAGGGCAAGTGGCCTGGGGGTCCTATAGAAGGTAGGTGCGGGGCTGGCGCTGCACTCAGTGGTAAAGCATTGCCGGGCATGTGTGAGGCCTTGGGTTTAATGCCTGGCACTGCAAAAAAAGGAAAAATACTAAAACAAAAAATTTTTAAATAAAGTACATGCTTGACAACGCTTTGGGGAACCTCCCCTGTGTCTCCCTGTGAACCCCAGGGTTAGCAAAGGACCCAACCAGCAAGCTTCACCAGAAGCCATCATCCACATCCAGCCACCTTCAGCATCATCAGTGCTACATCCTCTGCCTCCCCCCAGGGGCCTTGGATCAGGGTCAGCCTGGCTGGTCTTCAACAAGTTTCTGAGGGTCTGTTAGACAGAACCCTGCCCTGCTGTTCCCCTGGAATCATCTGCCATCCCTGGCCCTCGCCCTGCTCCTTAGCTTCCACCCTCACTGTATTCGGAATGAGCCCGATCTCTCCCACCTGCTGCACGACTCAGTCACTGTGGTCCTGTACCCTGGACAGGCCAATAAGGTGCTCCCTGTCTGGCTTTAACTGGTCTCCATGAGTAAGCGGTCCCCTACGGGCTGCAGGCCTGAGGCCTGGCTCCTTTGCTCTGCAATGAGGTTGTGCATCCACATGCTGACCGCATGCTGAAGTCACCCCATGCTGCTGTGGACTCTGTCTGGAGCAGAGTCACCCTTGACATACCAGGATCACCTGAGGGGTTTTGTAAACTCCCAATACCTGGCCCCAGACTTGGCCAGCTACAAGCAGGCTCCCTGGGTAGAGCCTAGGCTGCCCCATCATATCCCTGTCCCCCACCTCGCCCCAGGCTCTCCCAGGAGGGACCAACCCAACCTCTGGTCCTTCCCTCTTTTCCCCTCCTGCCAGCCACTGGCACCCACAGCTCCTCAGCCTCCTCCATGTGTGCCTCCAGCCTCACACCCATCAGAGCCCGGCATTCCAGGGCCCACATTAAGGGTCCAAGGGATCTTCCAGATCCTCCTCCTCAGCCTCTCCAGGAATTACCCCAGGCCTCCCACCTGGGAGGAAAGCTCCAGGCCCCACTGCAGGTGGCCCTGCAGCAAGACCTGACTACTCCACATCTCCACCTGAGCAAGGGGCACTCTCATGCCTCCCTCTGCGTGTCCCCCAAGCAGCCTGTGGCTGTCCACTCTGTTCCACTCCTTCAAGGCCTGTGCTGGGGCTCAGCACAGGCAGGAAGGGGAGCACAAACCCAAGGAACAGCCCAGGCTTCTGGGTCCAGCTGCAGGGCGTAGTGAGGTAGAGGGCCACCATGCCCAAGGAAACCTCAAACCTCCCCTGGGCGGGACATCACTGAATCACAGACCCAGCGTGAAAAGGAGCCCTAATGCTCATCTAGCTCAGTCCAGCCCCACATCTGCCTCCTGACACACACCCAGACATGCACAGCACAGAGCTCCCCCTGCAGTGTCCTCCGCCAGCCCCTCTTGGATGCCATTGGAGATGGGGAACTCACCTCTAAGGAAAACAGCCTCTTCTATATGTCCCCCCAGGTACTGAGGGTTGAACCCAGGACCACTCCCATGCTAAGCCGGCACTCTACCACTAAGCTGAACCCCCAGCCCTTTTTATTTTGAGACAGTCTCACTAATTGCCCAGGCCTTGAACTTGCTATCCTCCTGCCTCAGCCTCCTGAGCCACTGGGGTTGCAGGCGTGTGCCACTGAGCCCAGCTAATGCACACCTTTGAGGAAATGCTTGACAGCCGTCAGTGTCCCCATTCCTCTGGGTACCTGTGGAATATCTGCCCTCCTCAGGCCCTGATTCCATAGACCCCTGACTGGCCTCTTCGCCTCACAGCCAGGCTGCCCCTCGGTGTGCAATGCACTTGTCCTTCTGGATAAGGGCAGAGAGGAGGTCTGCTCCAGAACCACACCAGACCCCCAGCCTGGAGGGCTCCTCCCCAGGCTCCACCTCCTCCTCTCACCCCAGGCAGGCCCTCCGCAGGGAGTTGGTCAAAGTGCCTCTAGCAGAAGGCCCGGCCTGCCCACCTGGCTGGAGCCCCTCCAGTGGTCAGACCCCCCATAGTCCTGCTCCAGGGCACTAGATGCTGCCCAGGGGGACAGAATTCGCACTGGGGGTCTCAGGCATCCCTAGGGGGTCTTCCACCACCTCTCACACTCAGGGTAAGCCTGGGCTCCTCCCTCTGCCTCTAGGGCACAGCCCACCAGGATGCTCCCATCCCCCAGGTCATCTTGGAGAGGCAGTCAGGTAGGAACCAGAATCTGGCATAAGCCTGCCAGGGCTACAGGCCAGGGCCACCAGTCCTGGATGTTTCCAGACCCTGCAAGTCACCCTTCCCTGTTCACCCAGAGGGTCCCAGCCAGCCCCACTCCCAGGGCCACTCCCCGTCACCTCGCCTGGTTCCTGCTCCTGCTGCTCGGTTGCGCTCTACTTCTCCCAGCCAGCCCCGCCCCAGCTCTCACTTCCCTCTCTCCTCCACGCTGCCCCACCCACCTGCCCCGCCCTGGGAGGACGGGCAGGCCTGGACAGGGGAGAGCCAGCATCTGGTGCTGTTAGGCACCTCCTCAGGGCGTCCATAGGAAGACTAGAGGTGGCCTTGGGCCAGGAGGCCCTGGCCAGCATGTCTGAGTCTGGAGCCAGCAAGAAAAGCCATGTTCCCCATTCACCAGTCCAATGGCAGCCTGCACAGCCCTGCCTGGCCTGGTTAGTGTCATTTCCTGGGTGGGGTCACTGACTGTCCCAATTTGTTTTTCCCTTGCCCTGAATGCTCTTGATTTCTTTGGGTTTTTGTTGTTGTCATTGCTTGTTTTGGTACTGGGGATGGAACCCAGAGGCACTTAACCATTGAGCCAGATCCTTTTGATTTTTTGCAGCTCGCTAAACTGCTGAGGCTGGCTTTGAACTTGCAATCCTCCTGCCTCAGCTTCCCAGGTTGTTTGGATTA